GTGATGCCTTTGAATTACGGTGTTGGCAAGGACGATGAAGCAGATCATGGATTGCCAGAAGAACAAACTAATGTCTCTGGAGAGAAGTACAGTCCGGATGCTTCTCAGAAGTGAGGATGGTCAGGATTTCATTTCATATCCTCTAGTTACTAAGAGAGACCATTCCCTAAGGAAGGGCATCATGTGCGGCGAAGTCGGTCAGTCAAAACCAGAAAACTCTCCACCAGCTGGACTGGCACAGAGGCTACAAGAATCAGATCTAGGAGGAAAAGAAAACAGACTTTCTAAATTGTACTATATGTGCCCATGATTTCTGAAATGGAACGCAACGTACCTAATGCTGGGAACCAAGCAAATGTTCTACTTGAGAAGCATCAGTGATTACCCTGTGTCTTCACACAGGGTATCTGTCGGAGTTATTTAGCTGGGCAGGATTTCGCGCTCTGATTTTATTATGTTCCAGCTCCTGAGGGGTTCTTCTATCTGCTTTTTGAAGTTGTGGCTCATCCTTCACAGCTGAGGATTCTAATTTCTATGGGTCGGGAAAAAAAAAATCTAAAAACTGTTGTGGAAGGGGGAGAAAAAGGCTGGGAGCAATATCAGAACCTTAAATGTCTACTCATTTAGCTGGGCTAAAGATTTTTTTTTTTGTCCATTTCAGTCTTTTTTTCTTTAATTAATCATTTTATTGAGGACTCTTACAGCTCTTACAATAATCCACACATCAATTGTATCAAGCACATTTGTACATATGTTGCCATCATCATCGTTTGAAACATTCTAATGTTTCAAAACATTCTCTTTCTACTTGAGCCCTTGGTATCAGCTCCTCTCTTTCTTTCCCTCCCTCCCCCACCCTCTTAAACCCTTGATCAATTATACATGATTGTTATTTCATGACTTCCACTGTCGGTTGTCTCCCTTCACCCACTTTCTGTTATTTGTCCCCCTAGGGTGGGGTGGGGTGGGGGCTATATATACAACCTTGTGATAGGCTAAAGATTTTCCACCTTTGACTAATTTCATTAGATCAAATGAATTGCAGATCCATGGTAACCAATGAGTAAGTGGATTTTGTTAGCAAAACTTTGGCCAGTCATTATTTGACAACCCTGCAAACTGCTTTTGAACTACACGGGAAGACACATAGTTCAGCCTCGGAAGACTTGCCCAATACCCGCAATAAAGTACCCACGCTCACAATGTCACCCTCACAGCAGCGGCACATTAGTTAACTAAATGTCCTCTAGAAATACTATGACTGAAAAGGAATGCTGTTAATTGCAGAACACTTTCATAAACCCTAGGCTTCTAGTCAGATATGTAATCCTTAAGTGAAACAAATATGTTAATTTAAAAGAAGGATTTTAAAATAGAATACGGTATTTAAAATTGGTACCACAGCGCCAAAAATATCTACTAAAGATAATTTAATTACCTAGCCATTTCATTC